GATAAGTCAAAGGTCCTACTCGACCATGGCTGGCTTCACTTGGAAGCATGTGGGAAACGATTCCTCTGTGTTGACCCTCCTCTTTGTAGACTGGACACTGGTTTAAGTCCATCTGGTGGGGTCTCCTTGGCCTCCTTGATCAAGAGGACAGTTGACCCACCACAATTACAGGACATTTTGAGAGATGCTCATAGTCCCCTGGAACTAGTCAACCTAAGAAGGCAAGGAGCAAAAACTGTCCTTTATGTCCCTTTGACCAAATTATTATAGGCCTCAAAGTATATCTGTTAAACATTCAAGATTAGTTCCGCCAATCTAGTACTTTTAATTACTGTGTGTCATGTAGATAAATCTTGGGCAAAGATCAATTGTTCTCAGATAAACCTTACCTAGGCATATATTTCTTGATCTGGTATGTATAATTTGTTAGTAGGTTGTTGGAGTAATATGGTTCCCTCTGGTTTTTAAAACTAGCTAGGAAGTATTTATCTCTCACAATGTCTAACACCTCCATCATGGTTTCCCCATGTAAGGTGCCCCCATTTCTCCCCTTTCTCTATCTTACTAATACCCTTCTCCTATGGTCCTACCTCTCTTGAGCTCCTTCTTTCCCTTTATCCCCTAGGTTCCTTGTATACCCTTCCCTCTCCGCTCCCTTAAACTAACCCAATTTTTAGCCATATCTCCCTTATTAAGGCCTGTTTCCTACTGTTCTTCTCTTTCAGGTTCTTTCTTTTCCTTTACCTCCCTGTTTCCTTTCCATTATCCTGGTTCCTGTAGTTATGCCTGGATACATACTCACTTGTCAGGATTTGGTTCTAGGAGCCACATATGAGTGAGAACATATGTCAACATTTTGAGAGATGCGCCATAGCCCCTGGAACTTGTTTGACCTTGGAGGGCAAGGAAAAAAAAAATTGTCCCTTTAAGTCCCTCTGACCAAATTAGTATAGGCCTCAAAGTCTGGTTATTAAATATCCAAGAAGGTTAGTGTGCTGGATAGCTTTAGTGTCAACACACCTGGGTTGAAGGAGCCTCAATTGGGGAATTTCCTCCATTGGACTAGCCTGTGGCCATGTCTGTGGGGCATTTTCTTGATTGTTGAGTGATGTGGGAGGGCCCAGCCCACTGTGGATAGTGCCACCCCTATGCAGGTGGGCCTGTGTTAGATAAGAGAGCAAGCTGAGCAGGGGCCAGGGGAGCAAGCCAATAAGCAGCGTTCCTCCATGGCCTGTGCTCCAGCTCCTGCTGCCAGGTTCCTACCCTGAGTTCCTACCTTGGGCTCCCGGATGAACTGTGACCTGGGATATGTAAGCTAAATAAACCCTTTCCTCCCCAAGTTGGTAGTGGTCAGAGTATTTTGTCACAGCAACGAAGAACAAAGAGAGTTAGTTACACCAATCTGGTACTTTTAATTACCATGTGTTATGTAGATAGATCTTGGGCAAAACCCAAACATTTTTAAATAAACCTTGATGAGATATCCTTAAACTAGCTGACTAAGCTATGACCTTAGACATTTTAAGATCTTTTTCTCATACTTGATAAATCGTACCAAACCTACATGAACCTCCATCATTTGCTTCTAGCCACTCCAACAGCTATTAAAATGCCTGAAAACAAATCCTGAGTCCATCACTCTCGAGTTCAGCCCTGGCAGAAGAAAAAAAAAAAGAAAAATGAGCTATTACCTTGGTGCTAACTATTGCTCCTTGCCTCTTCAGATATTTTCAGGATCAAATCCAAAAACTAACTCTTACTAATTTTAATAGGTTGTTACTTTCCTTCCCCCCACATGTATACAAGCGCCTGTCAACCATTGAGGACCCTGTTGAGATGCATGAAGAGGGAACACCCCCCCATCTGATCGACCCCTAATCCAGCCCCCCCACGTCGACCCTGTCCAGCAGGAAGTAGCAAGACGACAACAGTGCCCCCATCCCATAACTCAAAAGGCTGGAATGTTAAGATTCAGATAGCCCTGCCCCCTCACCAACAGGGTGTCACAGACTTCTCAAGCTCCTGAGAAAAGGGAACTGAGCTGGTAAGCACCCTGGTCTTTGAAGTTAAGAGAAGCAGACTTTTCTCCACTGTTTGGCCAACACAGCAGGCTTCC